TATATGCAGGTTTGCACTTTTTAAATTTCATGTAAACAAAAATAAACCACACCTACCCTTTATCATCTGGCTTCTTTTTTTCACCCAGCAAAATTATTTTGAGGTTTGTCTATATAGTTGAATATTTCAGTTGTTTATTCCGTTTTGTTAGTAAATGGAATTCCATCGTGCTGATACATCCATACATTATTCTTTTGTTGATGGATACTTTTTCAGGTGTTAGTTATTATAAATCAAATGGCTATGTGCATTCATGTACAGGTCTTTGTGTGGAAGTTTGCTCCTCTTGAGTAAATACCTGAAACTGGAATGACTGGATCATGTGGCAGGGACATGCTTAACTTTTTAAGAAACTACCAGGCTGGTTTACAAAATGCAAATTTACCTTTCTATTGGCAGGGCTGAGAGGCCTAGTGCATCAAAACTTGTTATCGTCAATCTTTTTAATTTTAACCCATTCAATTTAGTCATTTTAGCTGTATACACATAGGAAATATGTGGTAGTGCAGATTGGATAAACTATCACTGCCTAATGTCCAAAGTCTTAAAGTCATAGGGAGTAAGTCTGTTCTCTATTACTCTGCCTTTGCTGGAAGCCTCTTTTAACTTAAACCATGGATGAGGAGACACTCTCCAATACTGCACTTTAATCATATCTATATCTGTTCAGCCAAGAATTTGCCCTCCTGGGTAAGACAATTTCATAGGATTAGAATTCTCTTGGAAAATTCTTTAATACCTGTGCTCCTTGCCCTGAGCCGATTTCTTTTCACTTCAAGAAACAATACACGGTTAGATTCTAGATGAGAAATATCCCTTGGATATAAAAAGTAGAGACCAGCTCTGCATCAGGAAAGCCTTCCTTGACTACCCAAATTAGACTAATCCCCTAGTTGTTTATGTTGCTCTGCCACGGTTTTGTCTTTTGCATTGTACTTATCACTACTTGCTATTTTCTTGCTAATTTCTCTACTTTTTAAAAACTATCTCTCTGAATTACCACTTTCTCCATGAAAGCATATGTCTTTCAGTCTTATCCAAGGTCAATAGCTGGAATAATATCTGGCCCATTCTAAGTACTCTTGAAAATATGTTGGAAGAGTATTTTCTGTCATGGAGCAACTTTTGTTCCAATAGAAAGAGTTTCAAAAGAAAAATTAATGTATGAAAACAACTTGCATCATAATATTGTTCCACGTTCACCAATATCTTCACTCCATCTCGGTTAATGATGTCATTTGTTTGTGTCACCTGAGACACTTTCTTGAAATCTCCTTATCTGACTTCCAGTTATTGTTTGTGTTGCTTAACATTTCCTGTTTTGGGGTATTTTATCTTGACTTTCAACTCAGTGTAACACCTTCTTCTTTCAGCAAAACCATAAAAGAAAGAAAAATAACCTCTTTCCAAGAATTTATTATTTCTGTAAACAATCTCCACATTTTATATTTTGCTTTTTTTTTCTGCCTTTAAACCTCATATCCTGCTGCCACAGCCTGGAAATTTTTCCTTAACCATCCTGTACCTGAAATACTGCCCCATTTTCTTGGCTAACAGACCAATTAAAGGTAAGGTTTTGGGGGCTGGGGATTTAGCTCAGTGGTTTCATTGCCTGCTGCGCAAGCGCAAGGACCTGAGTTCAATCCCCGGTACCAAAAAAAAAAGCTAAGGTTTTTGCTTTTCCTTATTGACTGGGCCTGCCTCCACCTGCCCCTTTTGCTTCTTTTTATACACTCTCCTAGATAATTTCCCCAAAGTAAACTCGTAATGCGTTATTCTTCTGTTAGGAACTTTAATGACTTCCTACGGAGGGCTGCAAATGAATAGCCTGTGTTTCTAATTTAGATGAGAGATATATTTTGTTTGGCTTCCTGAGTTTTAAAACAAAATCTTTCAGCCCTTGTTAAATAACCAAAGGCTACCTTCCCTAGGAACTATTAGTGACCTATATTAATAGGAAGCCATTAAATATGATGTTAGCCATTGGTTTTTTGTGGTTTTATTTTGTTTAGGTTGCAATGCTGGAGAGGAGTGAGTGCGGGGCCTTGTGCATACTAGGCACGTGCTCTTCCCCGGAGCCATACCCTTGGCTCTTGCTGTTAGTGTGTTGTAGCTGGTGTTTATCAGATTGAAAAAGTTTGTTGAGTGTTTTTATCTTGAAGGAGAGTTTGGTCTTTCAAATGCTTCTCTGCATCTATTGAGATGGTTCTGTGATTTTTTCGTCATCGCTGACAAGACTGGGGATGGAACTCCAGTCACTGAACTACCTCTTCAATGCTTTTAATTTTTTGATTTTGAGGCAGGCTCTCACCATGTCGCCCTGGTGGCACTAAGAGTTGTGATCTTCCTGCCTCAGCTCCGTTCAGTGCCGGGATTACTGGGGCTTGTCACTGTGTCCAGCTTACCGTATTTATTTAAATAGTATACTACATTAACAAAATTTCAGGTGTTGAATTTGGTTCTTTGGTCATGAAGAATAATCCTTTATGTTGCTACGTTTGGTTTGGTAGTATTGCATTGAACATTTTTACTAAAGGATATTTGTATGTAGTTTTCTTGTAACTGTTGTCTGGTTTTTGTAATAGGGGAATCCAGTCTCATAGAATGAGTTGGAAAGGGTTCCTTTCCCTTATACTTTTTGGAAGAGTTTTGGAAGGATTGTTGTCAGTTTTTCAAATATTTTGCCAAGCATACCATTGAATCTGGAATTTTATTTGTGAAAAAACAAAATTATCACAAATTCAGTCTATTCACTTATAGTGTATTTTATTCCCCTTCTTGAGACAAGTTTTGGTAGTGTGTTTCTCTCTAGGAATTACTTCATTTCAATTACCTAACTGAATTACCTAACTGGATAGAATATAATTGGGTTTTGTTTGTTTGTTTGGTTGGGTTCTTTTGGTACCAGGGATCAAACTCTGGTCCTTGAGCTTGTGCAGCAGGCGGTGAAACCACTGAGCTAAATCCCCAGCCCTAGAATAGGATTGTTAATATATCACTTGTAACATTTTTTCTTTCCTTAAAGTGGTAATGTCTCCTTTCCCTCAACCCCACTTTGTCTGTTAGTTCAGCTAAAAGTTTGACAGCTTTATTCTAAGAGCCAACTTTTGGTTTAAGCTTTTTTCTATATTGCCTTTGTACTCTCTATTTAATCAATTTCTAGTTATTATGTTTCCTTCTGCTTCTTTTAGGTTTAGTTTGATGTTTGTTTTTTTCCCCCAGTTCTTTAAAGGGGAAATTTAGTCTACTGATTTAAAATATATCTTATTTTATCAATATATATTTACAGCTACAAATTTCTCTGTAAGCATTGCTTTAACTGGATCTCTTAAGCTTTGTTATGTCATTCTTAGATTTTTTTACTTTTCATTTTTATTTATCTCAAATGCTTTATTATTTCCCTTTAATTTCTTTGGCCTAATACTTATTGAGGACCGTGTTGTGTAAAGTCCACGAATGTGTTAATTTCCCAAACTTCTTAGTGCTATTGATTTCTAGCTCAATTCCACTGCAGTGAGAGAACATATAAGGAACGATGAAAATATATGATAAATGTTAAATTAAAACATATTATTACAGTAAAAAATATATTGCCATGAACCCCCTCAAAATACTCCTACCTTCACACAAGTGTATCCCATTGTTTTTGCCACTTTCTGAAGCAGTTCCTCAGGTCTTCTTTCCTGAATGTCTTTATAAGGAGTGATTAAAAAAAATATGGTGAATTCTGATGCTGAGTGCCACTGAATAGAAAGGCAGGCTCGTAAAAACATCACAGTGAGTCTTCATTTACCTAAGTTACTGGATCTGGCACCATATAAACGTTGGCTCTTCTCCAATGTCAAAATGACCAGGAAGGGTAAACTTTTTTTTTTTTTGGTACCAGGGATTGAACTCAGGACCTTGCACTTGCAAGGCAGGCGGCAGAACCACTGAGCTAAATCCCCAGCCCAATTTAATTTTCTTAATGACTAGTAATGTTGAATGCCATTTAGTGTTTTCACATTTCACTTTTTTTAAAACTGATCTTTTAATTTTTTAACATTAATTAGTAGGGGGCTCTTTAAAGAATCTGAAAACGAGCACAGTATATAATATGTGTATTATAATATCTTCTGGAAACGTGTGGTTTTCTTTATAATGGTGACTTTTAATCAAAAGAGGTTCTTAATTTAATGAAGTCCATTATAATCTTTAAGTGATTAGCAGTTTTGCATAGCTTTTTAAGAAATCTTTGCCTTCCTAAAGATTCTAAAGATATTCTATGTTTTCTTCTAGAAGATTTTTATTTTTAAAATAATTCCTTATGATTCATCTTGAATTTTTCTCTGTATGTAATGTCAGGTAGGATCTTTTTTTTACTCCCCTAGGGCTCCAATTAAATGAGTACCATTCATTTTAAAAATTCCTTTTCTCACTGAATTTTATCTTTGTAATTAATCAAGTAACCATGTACATGTGGGTCATTTTCTCTAGTCTCTTACTCTGTTCTATTCTGTTCTGTTCTATTCTATTCTATTCTATTCATCTGTATGTGTGCCCTTGAGCTCAGTTACAGTACATTAATTCCTGCTGCTCTGTGGTTAATCTTGAAATCTGATATAAGCATACAGAACTTTTTTCTTCAAGATGTTTTGGCTATCATGGGGTCTTTAATTGTCAGTTTACGTGCACACACACACGTGCGTATACACACAAACAGATGCATGTACATAAGAGCATATCTGTTGGAATTTTTAGCAAACTTATTAAATTCATAAATCAATAGGAGAATTTTTATATTTTAATAATATTGAGTCATATAGTGCATGGAAATATTCTATGTCTGTGTTTATTTAAATATTTTTAAACTCCCCTCTGTAATTGTAGTTTTCAGTGCCTTACATATTTTTTGTTAGATTTATTTATAGAGTTTTGTTTTTTTTATATTATTATAAAAAGTTCTGTTTTCCAAGCTTTACTTTTAAATTAGTTTTTGTTAGAATGTAGGAATACAATTCCTTTTTATGTACTGACTTTTTAATCCAGCAGCCAGGCCCAATGCACATACATATTTGTTCTGTTTAGGGATACTTTGGAATTTTCTATGTATATGATCATTCTGAATTTTACTTTTGTCACTGTCATAGATATCTTTATTCTTTATTTCTCCCACAGTAGAGTTTCACTTTTTTGGTGCTGAATTAAGATGTGGTTCATTTCTTTGATTGTTGGGCAAAAATTAATTGGTTCACTGAAATAACTGGGCATATCAATACCATAAGTGATTGAATCAGGAATATTGCAGTATAATTGACAAAAGGTAAGAGTTTATTTACTTCAATCTGAAACTTCCTGGTTACAGAAAACCCCAGCATATCTCTCTTCTGGTGTGGGTGTCCTGATTCCCATGTTCTCTCTTCTAAAGTTCTTCTTGTAAGCTTTGTCTTAAAGTCACAGGTGTATCTGTCAACTCTTAGAAAGATTCATATTTCTCTTTGCTCATTCTATTCCTCTCTTTCCTTAAAAGGCAATACCAGCTATTTCCTTTACTGTGTTAATAAGTAGAAGTCTAATTTTTCTAATCATTTTCCATTGACGTAATTAATTATAGCCACTAAAAGCCTTTCCCTATTTAGGTCAAAGGACTTGATTAATTGTAGTATCTTCATACAATGATTACATTCTGATAGCTTAATGGCTTTGTACATAAACTATGCAGAGTCAAGTTGGTAAATTATTTTGTAATGTGTTATCAGAAAAAGTCAGATAACATTATTTTTACACTAGACTTTGGCTCAGTTATGGTTTAAAAATTACTCCCGTGAAGAGTTGCAAGTGGTATATATATGCTCCCTGGTTGGAATGCCACCTTAGTAATTCTAAGATTATTTTGTCACTCAACTAAAGTTGAGATCTTGGAGAATACTCACTCTGTGCTGTGTGTAGTCAGTGTTCAGTAAATAATTTTTGACAGATTTGATGAAAGATGTCATCCCAGAGCCAGCTAAGTGTTCTCCATAAATTCAAGGGGATCCTCTTCTCCAATATGTCTTCAGAAGAACTTCTTAATTCTTTAGATTCTTTTGATGCAAGAGAAGATGATGTGTTCCTGGTTTCCTATCCAAAATCTGGTGAGTTTGTTTTAATCCATTTTTTAAACTGTAGAAATGCAACTGTAAAACTACAACAATCATTTTTATGCATTTATTTTTCAGAATTTTTCCCCTGGAAAAAATGACATTAGACATTTTAAAAATTTGCCCTGAAGAAAGTTTAGTTGTAAAACATTAAAACTTACTAATTCTTTTGTTTATAATTCATTCATGAATACATATATATATAAATGTCTAATACCTGTAACATTATAAAGTTCTCATCATTACTTTGTATCAGACATAGCAATAACCAAATAGCATTTGTTCAATCATACTTAATGATTGATTTATAAATATTTTTCTTCAGCGTTAATAAAAACTACAAATATTTTTATTGTTAAAGGGATTTTACCTCAAAGATTATTCTTACACATACACTCATGAAGGGATGATTACTATGAATAATATCATTCTGAAAATTATCAAAATTAGTTACATGTTCTTTTTGTTTTGGAGAGGTGGCCAGGGTATATAACGTACAATTACATGCTTCTGTTTCCCAAATAATGGTATATAGGGCACACACCTGGTAGCACAAGTTCAGAAACTACAAGGTCAGCTGCATTTGAGTTGTGTGTACAGTGGAGTCATCATCTGAGGCCCAAGAGGTCCTCCCTATGGAAAGATACAGATTTCACATAAGACCAAATTTCAGATTTTCTAGGGTGCTTTTTGAAAAAAAAATTTTATTTTGGAAAATATTGCTGCAAAGACAAGGTCAGTGGTTACTCCTGGAATACCTCAGGGTAAAGTTGAAATTAATAGATTGCTCTGTGAGGGGATGTATCTTACCTTAAATTGATGTGTTAGTTTAGAAAGTAATGTATGATATATTAAGTGTTCTTGGAGCAGTAGCTAACATATCTTCTATGTAGATAATCATTCACAGACATCCACTGTACATACTGCTGCCTGTAAGCTGACATCTGCTGTCATATGAAGCTGCTAGAAAGTCCCTTTCAGTAGCACATAGCGACATGTATTCTCTCCCTTTCATCAAAATAAATCAATATATTCTATTAAAATAATGCAAAATCCTTACAGGATGAGTCACATTGGTATGAATATAATAATTATAAATATTTAAAACTTATTAACATTACAATCTAAAATATTCTTAATATGAAAACATGATGAAAATGAGAACAGTTTAAACTCTAAATATTTATTCAACTATAAAACTGTTAATGGTGTATCTCATTGAAATTATAAGGAGATAAATGGAGAGTAGGCCTGATTTAAACTCTTTAGGGACAGTGCTTTCAAATTAGTGAGGCATCTCTATCGCTCTTGCAAACTTTTATTTCTCTACTCCAATTTACTACTTTCTACAACACTGCAACATGCTCACTGTTTACTTAAAGTCAACATAAAGTTATACTTTTTCCAGATTCTATGGTAGCAGGCTTATAACTCTATGATGTTTGAATATAGTCTAGCCTCATCGTCCAAATACTTTGTGCAACTGCTATGTAGCTACACAAAATAAAAATACTATTCAGTGTTTATCTTCAAGGGGGAAACAGAGAGATAAACTAAGAAGACCAGCCCTACAATTGTACTTTGGGACGTGTGCTAATGAAGGTGGGAGCTGGGTACCTTTGGGGGAAACGGAGAGATAAGCAATGCTACCAGGGGATGAGGATGCAGAAGAAAGTGCCTGAAATGCAGCTACTCAGGAGGCAGAGGCAGGAGCATCCCAAATTTGAGGCCAGCCTGGGCAACTTAGACAGACCTTACCTCAAAATAAAAGAATAAAGATGACGAGGTGTACAGTTAGTTGTAGAGCACTGGCCTAGCATGTGCAACACCTGGGTTCAATCTCCAAAACAAAAGAAAAAGAAAAAGAAAAAAAAGAAGGATAAGGGAGTAAAAGAGGAAGATGTATGAGCTTCCAGGACTAGTGAGACTCATGTACAGAAAGGTCCATGTGAATTTGTGAATTAAAGGCTCTAGAACTGCATGATACCATAGAGTTCTTCAAGATAACAGTGTGAACAATGTTCTCGCCCCTCACTCTGTAAAATGTGATTCCGCCTGTAAAGTGAATTAGCATTTCTAGTGCTTCAACACTTTCCATGGGTGTAATAGTACTGTTTATAATAAAATCAAGGCATTTGTTGTTTTTATAACTTGCTAATTTTCTTATATGCATTTCACCAAGAGGGACATTTAATTAACGCTGCACTGCATTTTATGTTTGTGTAAAGGCACTCACTGGATTGCAGAGATCATTGAGAGCATTCCCAACGCTAGAATCACGCTCACATCTTCTATTGAATTGGGAGACATTTCTAAACTTGAAGAGCTAAAAATGTACTCTCAGAGAAGAGTGATCCCGACGCACTTATGCTATGACCTGCTCCCTGCAAATATCAAACAAAAGCAATGCAAGGTGAGCGCTGGGGTGAAGGGCAGAGCCTGGAAGTGAGACAAAACTGGCTTGGATTCTTCCTGTCACTCAGCTTGACAACGCCACTTACATTTTAATTATTTTATCTGTCGTTTATGCAAGGGATACTATAGGAAAGGAAAAATTGTAAGTTGTGATGTAAAATGCTAAAGAATAGTTACTTCAAGCAATTTTTAAGCTGACATGTTATTTTAAAGGTGGGTTGTAATTTAAAGGATATGTTCTATTTTCATAACTGTCTTACTCTTATTTTATGTTTATGTGAAGAAATGCTTAGAAGAGAAGATTAGGTAGAATCCTTATTTTTAAATTCACATATACTGAATATTAAAACATACTTACACACATATGTAAAAATACTAGATTAAGTATGTCAAGCTGTCCAGTGATTTTCTATAGCATGGCATTAGGGTTGAACTTGATTTTTGTTTTAGAGAACTACATATAGGGAGCATTTTAAACTTCTGCTTTTGTCAGGAAAAAAAAAGTTTAAAAAGCGAAGACAAGACACAAGTGACTGTTATAACAAGTTTCCTAGTAATGAAGCTGCTTCCAATTCTAACTCCAGCCACATTCTAACCCTAAATCACAACCAACTGGCCAGTTACCTGTGCTTGCATCAGAGCCGATCTTCCCACGTTGTCCTCTTGTGACCACAGAGCTCTGTGCACACTGTCTACTCCTCTGTGCGAATCTGTGTGTATAAACATGGTGAACCACAATCAAGCACCACAGGGTTTGTCTTTGTCCCCCCACAGCTCTGTCAGACAGGGGAGGGGATATTAACTTGATTACACTTTCACTCACTCAACATTTTCCTTGCAAAAAGACTCTAAGACACTGAGAGAAATGCTTCTCAGATATCATTGTCCTCCTCTTCCTCCTACTCTTCCTCCTCCTCCTCCTCCTCCTACTTCTTTCTGATGAAACCAGAACCAATACCAAGAGGGAGGGAGAGAGGGGGAGAAAGAGAAATACAGTGGACCCTCAAGTTACAACTGGCCTGACATACGAACATTTTGGGTTAATTAGGTTAGTGGAAGATTCATCTGCCTCTTGTTACCTATAGCATGTACCCAGGTAAACATCCAGCTGTCCGCTGTATTGACTTAGTTATAACCAGCCTTTGGGAACTGATCGAGTTTGTAAATCAAGGATCCACTGTATATATGTTATAAATACACATATATAATATACCTATGAAGAGATGACAGAGAGAGAGAGAGAGGGAAAGAGAGAGAGGGAGAGAGAGAGGTATAACAGGAGAAATGGAGTTTGATTAAACTCAGCAGCAGTAACTCGGTAACACAATGACGTCAATAGCAAATGTCTATGAGATAGACACGACATATAGACATATATGTATATAGACATATACGACAGTGCTTCACACTCAGCTGTGACAAGTGCAGTTCACTGGGCTTTTGTAAGCCAATGGAAGGAAGCTGAGTTACAGAGAGGTTAGGGTACTTCTTAGCCACCGCATGAAGCTACAGCCTTAAGATATGGCCCTTCTAGGGTGACCCTCAATGGGAACTGAGGCTGTCTGCTTGCCCTGGTCTCCAGTAGGACCTGTTGGACAGTACATCCCTCCCTCAAACTTTCCCTACTAGTGCTCAAACTTTTTTGGCATTATGAATTTTCTTCCTAATTGATGTTCCTTCTTTTTTATGATTTAAAACTCACTGGCATAACATTTATGCTTTCTAGATCTTTTCATGATGTTTTCTTTAATATTTGATTTTTCCCCAAACTGTGATTCTGCCTTCCCTTTATATCCCTTAACATCTTCCAGTGATTCTTCTGATTTCTTAGATTACATTCTTTGACAAAACATGAATAAATTGGATGCATTCTTTCCCAGTAGAGAATGCAGACATACAACTTCGGGTATTCTCCAAAAGCCCTAAAAACTCTTTACCAAAACAAATATGTCCAACTGAATGGCTGGGCTTAAATTCAGCTACTGTGTCCCTTTTGTGTTAAGGCAGTGGGTCTTTAACTGTCCTCTGAGCCCTGGGCTTCTGTGAATCTGCTCAGGAAGGCCTGACGTGTGAGTGACTCCATAATGTTCTTGGGAAACAGAGAGAATATGGGGTGGGGCACAGTAAAGGTGGTCCTTCATTCCTCTACTCGGTGACCTTTACACATCTCTCAGTTAAAGAACAAGCACCATGCATGTGGACCTACGCAAGACTTGAACTATGAACGTGATATAGGGAGATAGTTATGTATTAAAAATGACTCAGCAAATATGTTCTCATCTAAGTAAATGTGTCTACTTTGATTGTCAACTAAAAAGCAAATAGAACATCTTGTACTTAGCAGCTTGTCATTCGATGTTGAATGGGAATGTAAATACTCCCATTTGATCCAACTTCTCACATTGGCTTCTGGGGGCTTCTTATATGGTCCTAGTGCATTCTATATCTTCCCTATTATATCTCTTGCAACACTGCATTGTCAAGACCACGTTTAATTATCTGACTGTCAATTTCAAGAGGGCTAGAACCATTTCTGTCATGCTCATAATTATAGTCTTTGGATCGGGAACATTGTCCACTTCCTGGTGTACAATGGGTACTAAATAAATATTCATTGAATTAAGTTCAATTGGCATTTTAGTGTCCATGAAATTGGGAGGGTATCTCAGGATACTCTGGGAGATTCAGTTGTAGAAAATGGAAATCATAAAACATTATTACTCCTATAAATAATAGATACCTTGTAAGAAACTTTACTGTATATAAATGCTTTGTGATACATGCACAACTCAAAGGTACTTGTGTTCCATGAAGGAATAGAATTTTTCCCATGTCTGCCTCTAAAGCAGAGGACCAAATTTAGCACATAAATTTAGAATGGCCTTGGCAGGATAAACATCACCCAAGAATTTGTTAGAAATGTGGGATGCCAGACCTCCTCCTGGGCACCCTGAATCAAAATCTGTATTTTAACGAGAGTCCCTGATGATTATTAGCACATTAAGCTTTAAGAGACACTAGACTAAGACTGCGTTTAATCATCAGCTAAGAGCTGCCCCCCAAATCATGATCTACGTAGGTAAGTTTAGCTGCTGCTTTTAGAAAATGTTTTCTGTTGAAGTTATTGATGTTAATTGATTTTTTTTTAAAAAACAGATTATCTACATCATTAGAAATCCAAAAGACACAGCCGTTTCCCTATTCCACTACTACAGAGATAACCCTAATCTTCCTTACATCGAAACATGGTCTGCATTTTTCGAGCTATTCCTCCGAGGAGAAGGTGAATACAGCGAATGTTTTTTTAAAATTTATAACATACACTGAACTTTCTTGCTCAGAACAAAAGCATTTCCAAAAGTTTAAGTGGATCATAACTGCCTTTTTCCCCAAAAAAATACAATGAAGAGATTATTTTAATTTTTTTAAAGCAAATTCTTTCTCACTTTGCCTCTTCACAGTCTTTCTAATCACCTATGGGTAGCAGCTTATTAGTGATGTTTATTGCATTGTTTTAATGTTTTCAAAACAGATTAATTTTGTATATGGACTGTTTTTTTCCCATATACCACTAGTCTTTTCAGTGAAATAATTACACAGTGACTGGAATGCAGATGGGTAGTCTGAAACATACCTTCAATGTAGCTACCTAGAGAATAAAAAAACAAAAGTAAACAAAAAATATAAATGTGCACACACAAATTCCCCAAAGAAATCAAAAGAAATTGTGAGAGAACTGATTTCATGAAAACATCAGACTGTCATTTATCATGAAAACCCCACAGTGAATCGTGATTTGACTCAACTGCATGTCTCACTTTGGTTGTACCACCCTGCACAACCTTTGAATTTCTTGTCCCTGACTAAGTGGAGTCAGAAGTGCTTTTGTAAAAATCAAACTCTCTGAATTGCCAAACAAACACTGTACAAAAGTAATATATCAAAACCATGCAGGAATTGAAAGAGACACAAGTTAGAAACTTGGAGTCCTCAGAGAACCCTGCCTCTTGTTGGGTAATAGCTAATTTCTCTATTTTCCTTACATATTTTTCAACTTTGATTTGTTACTTTCAGACAGGCAGGTATATTTCAATTTCTCTTTCTACTCTACTTTCCTCCTTAACTAATGGTACACTAGAATCATAATGTACAGGAAATGGCAGGTACTTTAATGTTTTTATCTGGTCTAAACACCAAATTGACATTTGGATCACCCATCTTACATCCCTACAAATTGTGCAGATTGAGCTTGAACATCTTTGTTTTGTTTTGTTTTTCCAGTACTGGGGATCAAACTCAGGACCTTGGGCTTGCAAGGCAGGCATGGTGCCACTGAGCTAAATCCCCGGCTCTTGAACATCTTAATTCTGACAATGGGATCACCAACCCCATTAAATAATACATTCCATCTTCTAAGATTTTATTTCATTCTTACCATTTATCATGTGCTTACATGTGATGGACACTTAGCTAAGTGCTGTGCAAACAGGAACTCATTTCACCCTCACTAGAACACCATGAGGTAGATGTTATTATCCTTATTTTACAGCTGAAGAGATTTCAGACTGGGAGGCCAAATAACTTGTCCACAACAAGTAAGGAGCAGAGTCAAGATTTAAATTCAGGTGTCAGCTTCAAAATCATTGTCCTTACCACTGTGCCATAATTTGTCCAGAAAAAAAAAATCCCTCTGGTCTCATTAATTCCTCTTCCACATGATAACTTCTAAATATTTGAAGATAGTTAGCATGCCTCCCTCCACCTCAATTCCATTTTTGGAATAAGCAGAGTTTAAATACATAAATTATTTTTTCAGAATAGACCTTGAGTCTGCTTTTGCTCAAGACCAGAAATGCAGCTTATACGTGCCATTGTTAACACCATGGCTTCCACTCTTCCCTGTTAATTGGCCACATCTTTATGGTGGTATGGTGGTGCGGGGCCAGCAGGCAAGCACACCCAGAGGTGCTCCACACAGAGGGAGGATCACAAGTTTAGGCCAGCCTGGGCAACTCAGTGAGACCCTGTCTCAAAATAAAATTGAAAAGGGGCTGGGGGTGGAGCTCAGTGGTCGAGTACCCTGGATTTGATGGGGAAGTGGGGACAGAGAGAAAGGAGGAGAGAGAAGAGGGAAGATAGAAGATAGAAGAGAAGATAGAAGAGAGAAAGGGAAGATAGAAGATGGAAGGAAGGAAGGAAGGAAGGAAGGAAGGAAGGAAGGAAGGAAGGAAGGAAAAGAAGGAAGGAAAATCTAAGAGGGCCGAGTATAGTTGGAAAAAATATTCTGGATAGTTCTCTTTGACCTTCCTAGGTGAATGAATAGATATTGAGTTGCAAAGAGATTTCGTCTAGAAATAGTCGGCATCTGGGTGATCCAGGCTGGGCAAACCCTGTCATCACCAGGAATAGTCACTTACTTACTAAAGCTTTCTTGAAAAATCTATTCAGATGGAGAAATAGTTTCACTTTTTCACTGTTAATAAGATACAGATGTTGTGTGTTGTGTGTGTGTGGTGTGTGTGTATTATGTGTCTGTGACTGGATTTCAGAGATCTTTTTCAACAACTCTTTGAAGGGAGGATTATTTCTCTTGCAATTGAGGACACAGTGTAGTAGAACAGGAGAGAGAAAGAGAAGGCTTGGCGTCAAGCCCTGGTTGGACTGCCTTCCCTATGTGACTTGGACAACTGGCACAACCGTTCCAAGATCTACACTCTTAGTACAAACTAAGGCCAATAAAATGATCTACTTTGTAGGATTACTTAGAGGGTCAAATTAAACAAAGGCTGAAGTATGCTGTAGAAATCTACTAGTCACAGAAGGCTTTAGAATAGTTTCACATTGAGACAGAGCTGTTGCGGGTCGGTATTTATCTAAAGAGGACATTTTACAGCTGAGGCATTATGGTACCTTACACCCACATCCAAATATAGACTGATTTCTATAACAAGACAATAGAGACATAGCTAGACACTTATCTAATCATTTAATTTACCTTTCAGACAGTGTATAAATATACATTATCCTTTCAAATTAAACAATAACTATAAGTTGTGTGCTGGTAATAGCATGCCAGAGTAATGTTGAAATGAAACTATCTCAGCAATTCAGCCCTTTTTCACTTCTACATATCTCTCTAAGTTTTGCATTAACACTCTATAAATCCTAGGCCACTTCTGGCCAGAGAGATTTGCTCCTCTGCACAACTATTATATCTTCAGAGCACCTCTCAGAAACTAAAACACTCGTTATAATTGGAATAGGGCCGAAGGTTGGCAGAAAGTATGGCACATTTGAAACACCTGCTGTGAAGATTGGAACGCTCTTGTAGAACAAGTAGGTTGGTTAGGGGTCCTTGGAGCCCTAAGGTTGGAAAAATGAATTTGCAATGGTATAAATAGGGAGCAGCACTCAGCAGCAACAGAAGAAAAGAAAATCTTTTGATTTGATACTGGATTTTTTTGCTTTGGATTTTTTTCTGGTTTTCTTTTTTGGCATCAAGGTGGCAAGGATGTTGAAGGTATTGGCAAGGTTAAAAGAAGGAATGAGGGAAGAGAGTGAAGACAGCGAGGAACAAAAATGTTCAGAGTAAGGTGTTGAGAGAGCTGTCCAGTGGAGTCATGACAGCTGATGGTGAGACCTGAGATGACCTGGGTGGTGACCGACCCTCTGTCTTCAGTGACGGTAGAGGAGATAACAGGGTGATTTATGACTGAGATAGGAGGGAAAGAGTGATGTGTTGAAAAGTGTCTCAAGAGTCTTAAAGAAGTGTGAATCCTAGGGGAAGTGATTCCTTGGTGGTGGGAGAGGGGAAGGGAGAGATATCCTAGAAGTTTCTAGAAGCCAGAAATCTGACTCACTCCCCAGATCCAGGACACATCCGTTGGGTGAGAGCGAGTCATCTCTGCTCAGGAGCATTCAGGGAAAGGGTGATTTAGGGTAGCAGAAGGAAGGCAAGCCAGGAAAAGGGTAAAGCCAGGAGGTGGTGGGATAATTCTGTAGGAATTAGGATTAATTCCTGAAAGATGTGGAAAAAAGCATTTGCCATAAAAGGAAGATTTCAAATCTCTATTTTGAAAGCTAAATTTTCCTAAGAGCTAAGGTCTACAAATAACTGGGATATTAATATTCCTTATTGAAAATTAAACAATACTGTCACTTGAAAATTCCAACCTGTTAGTAAAAATCACTTTTCAAATATAACACTGAGACACTTTCCCGAAGTACAAGGAAGTCACAATCAGCCACTGTCTTTGGCTGACATAAGTCCTTTTGGGAAATAAATTAATTTGTGAATAATAGAAAGGCTGGCTTTCAAATTACGATCAGTCTAAACTCCAAAACTCATTCTCAATATTTTTTTAACAGCACTGAGGATTGAACCCAGGGTCTCTCCCATGCTAGGCAAGTGTTTAACTTAACTACTTCTCCAGCCCATTTCATTTCAGTTCAGTTCAGTTCATTTCATACAAGGCCTCACTAAATTGCTCAAGTTGGCCTCCATGGATCGTTCTGCCTCAGCCTCCCAGAGTTCTGGGCTTAGAGACATGTACCAATCACTGTACCTGCTTATTTCTTTTTGAGACCAGGCCTCACTGAATCGCCAAGGCTGGCTTTGAACCCATGACCATCTTGCCTCTGACTCCCAAGTAGCTGTGCGCGGTGCTTAAATGTATTTTGGGGGATGTTGTAATGTATTTCCCACTGAAAAACCATAGTGGGCAAGCTTCGCCACCCCTATGCATGTAATATAACTCTGGGTCTCTGTCTCTGCTCAGCCACCTAGACACAGGAGCACTGGCTTCTCTCAAGGTCTCAAGGGCTCCACAGCCTCAGCAGCTTTAGGCAATAATATCATCCAGGAGGACAGGGCTGAGGCTTCTGGTGCAAAATGGTGGGCAGGTTAGACCTGGGAGTCTGAGGCGCTAGTGACTACAGTACTTAACTTTCTAAATTTGTGCGGGAGAAAAATCAATCTCCGTCCTAGCAACAGTTTGTGTCTGGGAAAAAGCTGGCCATTCTTGGAATCAGAGTCTCTTATCACTGATATGGCAATCTGAGTACTTCTAGGGCAGGTATTGTGTAAGTCACTGAAATAACCTGAGACTGCTGATAGCTAAGGGCCATGTCCGGGCAGCTCTTCCAGGAGTTCACTCTGTCACCCACGGGTCCACAGGATGGCGGGCTGATTCTGTAATGACGTCAGCCATCCCAGAGATTCTTCATTTAAACAAGCATAGTTAATTCTGGTCCTTTGTTTCCTCAAAAACCAAAGCTATGAAAAATTGCAGCTGGTTTGGAGTTAATTATACTTCAAAAATTCCAAGCTTTAATGTTCGAAAGTGTCTAGCACAATGTCTGCCAGACAAGAATGGCTTAATAAATGTTAGCTCAACTAATCAAAAGTTGGCAGATCTACAGGAAATCACTGGTCGAGCAGGTCTTTTATACTTAGGGTGTAAATTAGAAATTGAAATTTGGATTACAAGGATGCAATGGAATGATGTATATGGAGTATTTTATTTTTTAAAAAATTATTTTACAGGTTTTTTTGTACATGTTTGTAGTAAATAATGATTACATTTATTGTAGAGAATTGCTACATGAATGTAACATATCTTAATTCTTTATACTTCCCTTTCCCCTCTCTTCCCTCTCCCCTCCCTTCATCTCTTGGTCCTCTTCCCATTTGCAAAAGATCTCTCTCCTTATTTCATACTATCTACCTTTCATTTTTCTCTTTAAATTGCTGTGTTTTATGCATTATGCTTTAAGGGAGTAACTTCATGAGATGCCAAAATGTATTTAATCATTGTTGCCAGAGAGGTTGTTTTGCATGGTTGTATGTTACTTTTAAACCCTGGAAGTTTTTTAAAGACTGTAATTTAATACCAACAGTAAAGAGGCCATATCAACTACAGATAAATCCTTAAGGCTATAGTTTTCAGCTTTGAACTACATAAGTTAATAAAATTTTAAATTTAAATTTTCTTTTAAGTTAAATGTATTTAACCAATACAAAAACCAATATAAAAAATAACAACTGCAGGGCTGGGGATTTAGCTCAATAGTGCTGCCACCTGTCTCACAAGCACAAGGTCCTGAGTTCGATCCCCAGTACCAACAAAACAACTGCAAGAGTCTTTCTTAAAGTTTATGAACTTTCATGCTTAGAAGCCATGATTATAGGAAAACATGTAATTTGACAGAAAGAAAATAAATTCTCAGTGTTTCCCTATTTCTCTCAAGAGCCAATGTGCTCATTAGAACATAATTATTGAGAAAATGTATGAGGTATGATAGAAAAATATGGTGTGTTTAAATTTTTAAATATTTATTACAGTAAAAGACTCATTGCCATTTATCACCTTCAAAATACTCACTGTCATTCTGAACACAGTTATGCAATTGTTCTTGCCACCTTTTGAAGCAATTCTTAAGTTCTCCTTAGTGAGTATCTTTAATTTCATTGTACTGGGTGCCTTGATGTCTTTCATAGTCATTTTGCAAAGAGCCAAAAATTGCATGGTGAAAGACCCAGTGAATAATGTGGATGAAGATGCACTGTAATATTTTTACTTGCCTGTCTTTCTGTTGGGTTTTACTCGGCAGCAGCATTCACTGTGTTTTTAATCATCCACCATATTTCTGATCATACTTCATAGGCACTCATGAAAGAGGACTTTCAGAAAGTGATAAGAATGATGGAATAAATATGTTCAAAGTGAGGGGGAGTATTTTGAAGAGATTAATGCTAATATGTTTTTTACTGTAATTCATTTTTAAATTTTATTTATATATATATATATATATATATATATATATATATATATATATATATATTTGGAGACAGGGTCTTGCTATGTAGCTCAGGCTGACCTTGAACTGACTATGTAGCCTAAGCTGGACTTGAACTCGCAGTGATCCTCCTGCCTCAGTCTCCCAAGGGCTAGGGTTAAAAATGTGCTCCACCATGTCCTGCCTATAATACATTTTTAAATTTTGAATATTCACAGTACTTTTTGATCACCCCTTGTGTATCTCCATTTCTGCTGCCATTTTTCCTGATGGTAAAAGAGTGTAGACATAAGAAAAAAACACCAACAGTCTTGTTAAAATATACAGCCAGCTAGCTTAATATCACAACATTGTATTTAGTTGAAAAAGTAGTAAAATTGAACTCTTTAAATAAAATCTCACTCCTGAATCTAAGTAAGAAGATGGCTCATTTTGGCTACTTAGCTAAAGAGGGAAAAATCCAGCCATCGTTTTTAACTACAACACAATTGACTTTTCTTCTAGTTGTGTATGGATCCTGGTTCGATCATGTTTTAAGCTGGGAAGAGCACAGAAATGATAAAAACATTCTAATTATATTCTATGAAGAAATGAAGAAAGTAAGTCCTCCTTAATGTTTCAACCATTAAAATTTAAATCAAATTAAGTTAAAACTGGAAATAATCAATGAATTCTGCTTTCAGGTTTCAGGGAACAAATGTCCTTTGATAAAAGTTATACTCAATTTTTTAAAAACTTTGCTTTTTGCTCAGGATTTTCCTAAGAGCTTAAAGAAAATAACTACTTTCCTTGAAATAAATGTGAATGATAGTGAAATTAATAAGATTGCTCGGAAAACATCATTTAGTGAGATGAAAAATAATTCGGTCAAAGAAAACTTCGATCCCAATCATACCGTCTGTGCGCTCACATCTGACAGGAACCTGGTGTTCAGGAAAGGTAAGCAGGAAGAGATTCGGGGATTTGACTCTGGGCTCAGTTGGGAGGTGCAGTTGTCCTTCCAAATCAGCACCATCCTTATCTCTGCATTTAGCCAACTGCAGGTTAAAAATACTTGGAAAAAACCTGTGACTGTAGTTCATAGGGAATTGTTATTATCTTGTTGTTGTTATCCTCTAAATACAGTATTGTAACTGTTTACCTAGCATTTGCATTGTATTACATTTTCTAAGTAATGTGGAAATGACTGAGAATATATGGTAGATGTGCATGGGCTTTCTGCAAATACTGTGCTATATTATATAAGCAACTTGAGCATCTGAGGACTTTGGCATCTGTGGCAGGAGTAGTGGGGGTGTCCTGTAGCCAGTCCCCCATGGAGACACACGTATGGCTCCTGTTTTGTTTTTTATCTCTTCTTTTACCTTCACAGTCCCCAAATCTTGCACAGCAATTGCACATTTTCACCCCCTCGGGGATGTGTATTAAATGAAACCTTGACTTGATTCTTTCCAAAACGGAGATTTCCATGCCTGATTAGAGCCAACTGAGAGACTTGCATAGGTGTCAAAGTAATGGAAATAATAACGCTGCTTGATGAATGTGCCTCAGGTCGGCAGCCTGGTGCATTTGCTAACATTTTACCCTGAATTGTACAAACACGCACTTAGTCACAGCCAATCAAGTGTCATCCTCTCCCCCAGTGGGGAGGCAGCAAAAGCTTGGAGCAGAGCTGGGCACACTACCATTCTTTTCAGGAGAGAAAGGAGCTGATGAGCATGGATGCTCCATTCCCTAACTCACTCAACCAGACAACTCACCTCCAGAAGGAGAGGAGGAGTGGGGAGAAAAGCTGGGACTGTCACCTAAGGGTGTTCTCAGCAAGGAAACACAAAGAGAAGAAAATAAATCTTCTGCACTAATTCTGGTTTTTTGTTGTTTTTTTTTTTGTACCGGGGATCAAACTCAGGACCCTGCACTTTCAAGGCAGGCGGCTGCACCACTGAGCTAAGTCCCTGGCCCTGCACTAATTCTTCAGTGAGGTGCATCCAGCTATGGAATTGTTCTGAAGTCTGTGCGAACGTTTATCCAGATGTAGAAAGAGACCATTCTATAACTTACGAGGCAAAATGTTCTGCATTTATGTATTCAGATTTTTCACCAGAAGACAAACATTTACTGTATTTCCTTCCTTTGGCCCACCTGAATATAATTCCCCTTAAAGCAAATATTTCCCAATCCATGTAAAACAGATATTGTTTTAATTTTGCAAATTATTTTCTATGATTCATTTTCTACTTCTTTATACTTGTAAAACTAGTGCTAGGAAGGAAGTGAGAATTCCATTCAGTAAATGTTTATTAGTAAGACCTTATTTCTAGGAACTTATACTCAAACAGTGAATGAAACAGAGCTTTTTCCTTCAAAGGATCATAATCTAGAGAGTTACAGAGGTTACTAACAGCTATCCTCATGGCAGGAGCAAATGTGACTAGGAACACAGGTAAGGGAATGACTTATTTCCCTTAGCAAATCAGGGTGATGAAATAGAGCAGATCTGAGATGAAAAGCATGAGAAATATATTGCCATGACAACAATGGGAAAGCAATGGAGTCCAGGAAGAACAAGCACCAAGAGGAAAAGCTCAGACCACCATACAATTGGGTAGTATTTTCTACAAGGAGCAGTTGGTCTCACATGGAGAGTAGTATACAGGTGAAGCAAAGCGAGGGAGATACATATTGGTCTTGGAGAGGAAACGCTTTGATGGATATTGTGAAGAGCTCCCTTTTCTTTTTCCTGTTCGTTATTTTAAGAAGGGACTAGAAATGCTCAGACCTGTGTGCTAGAAAATAATGAAGTCAGGATGGAAAATTGTTTGGAAGAGGGTAAAAGTGGGACAGAAAGACCAGTAAAGAGATTGCTGTAGTTGTTTAGGTCAGAAATGTTGAGGATAAGTGATGGAGGGGAGTCTCTGTTGGGTGGAGCTCAGCTGAAAAGTGAGCCTGGAGCCCACCAGCAGGCTGTAGACAGGTAAGGTTGTGGAAATGGCTGGTGGGGCAAGTGGTAGAAGACAGACCAGGAGATGCAATGTAACATCAGGAAAATGAAATCACCCAAGGAAATCCAAGGGAAAAAAAATCAGGCAGAATTAGGAGAAAAGGCAGGATAAACATGGCAAAGTGTTTATCGTGCTTGAATTCTGGGAGCACGGGCTCCACAGCAGTTGGGATGGAAGCCAGATGGGTCAAGCAGATGAGAGGTAAAGAAGGGGAGCAGAAACAAGGGCCACCTTTCCAAGGACCAGAGCAAGACGACGTGGGAGCATCGATGTGGGATGCAGGGAAGACAGAGGAACTTGGAAAAGGATACACGCGGAGAAGGTGAAATAAGCACAGGAGAGAAACAGAAAGATTGAGAGAGACCAGGGTAAAGAGGAGAGTGAGAAATGAGGAAGTTCTGATGCTTACCAGAGTCCAGTATTTCGTCAGTGCCCTTTGAGATTGTGATTAGTAAAGCAATTAATATTCTCACCTCTTATCCTACACACTTGTGGAATATTACTGTATGGGAATAAAGTTATTCTCTGACCTGCCAGACTAACAAGCCTGCAAATGTCCTCAGATGAAATCATATCAACATCCTCGTAACTAACAACATTAACTCTAATGCATTTAAATTCTATCCAGTTCGTGTGCTGGGTCTAAACACAGAAGGCTAACAGTGGAAACATCTTCACTGTCATTTGTCACCATGACCACCCGTTAGGAAAGCTGTTCCATGTAGGAATTAAACACAAGAAGGGGTCAATAGCATTCATTTACTTTACTCTCCTTTGGGGGAAGATGAGATCGGAGTCGGGGATCCACACTTTGAAAGTAATCATTTCAGATAAATTACTGAAGTTGTTTCTCCAGACTTCTTAAGAGAAATTCTTCACTTTACAGAGGTGAATCTGTGCCTGTGGTTGTCTTTATTTTGATGTCAGAATTAGAGCTGATTTCTGAGAAGGTGATTGTGGTAACCATGCAGATAAGGTGATGAGTAATGATACAAGCGTCAGAACTCCAAGTCCATATTAAAAGCAGGAGTGTGGAAAGACATGTGGACAGGATGATGTTGCATTATTTCTTCCAACATTAAAAACCTAGAATGCACTTAAATGGCTGCTAGTCAGAAGCCAGGTCACATTTATTCAGACATTTACTACGGAATCATGGAAATTATAATTATATAGCAATAGCTTGCATTTATTGAGTGTTTACTCTGGGACAGGTGCATTACTTGGTCATTTTTGCCTGAACTTGAGAGTAGATGTGAGGATGGTATTTATGTTATCCACATTTTATAGAGATATCAAGTGTCTGATATTCCAAATGCACACAGCTAGGAAACAGTGGAATCGAGATTTGAATTCCATAAATCTAATTTACTTGAGTTTTCTATCTTTTTCTTTTAGACTAACTAAAGGCTTATACATTTTGTTTATCTCTTATAAAAACCAACTCTTTGTTTTGTTGATGCTTTCTATTGTTTCTCTATTTCATTTATTTCTGCTTCAATCTTTATTAATTCTTGTTCTAACTTCACACTTAGTGGATTTTTTTCTAGTTTGTTGAGGTATGACGTTAGGTGGTTTATTTGAGGTATTTCTTTTTTAATGTAGGTATCTGTCACTTACCTGTTTAGTATCGCTTTTGGTAGATCCCATAAGTTTTAGATGTGTGGTGGTTTTGTTTTTTGTCTCAATATACTTTCCAGTTTCCCTTTTGATTTCTTCTTTGAGCCATTAGTTGTTTATCTTCTGTTGAACTCTAAGTTGTACTGCGGGTGTCTATGTACTAACATGGAAGATAATCAAAGTGTAATATGTGAAAAAAGCAGGTTATGATTTTGTGATATTTAAATGTAGTTTATATGGATGTATTTGCATGCAAAGAAAAACATCTGGGGAAATGTAGGCCAACAGATCTCTTAGCCTCATTAGCTGAGTTTATTTCTTTGACTTTTATCTCTTTTGTTTATATGTATTTCCTGTAACATATATA